ATATTATAAATTTTATAAAGATAATAATTAAGTATTCTGTTAAAATTTAATGATTATACTAATTATATTTTCGATTTTTTATATTTAAAATGAGATGTTTATCCTGTATTTGATTGTGTTTATCTGCAGTTAGTTACACGAATTCATATATGAGATGAAATCGTTTAGAGATGAACGGATTTAAGAGTTTTAGTCAAATGCTTTATAAGATAGTATAGATAGTTTTAAAAAAAGTGTATTAGAAATATAAAATTAAAAAAATATTTTAATAATTAACGTTAAAATCTTTAAAACGGATTTTTAGAGATTTTTTTACTTTGAGTTCTTTATCTTAAACAAATTGTAGAAAATCTGAAGAAATGTTATAAAAAGTTGAGATTTACTTTCACGGTTCTAGAGATGGCAAAAAAACCCGAAACCTATGGTGAAAACCGAAACTTTCGGGGTGGGTTTCGGAGATACCTTATCGGGGACGGGGCGGGGATCGGGGACATATTCGGGATTTTAACGGGAGCAGGGACATTGATCACCGGTCCAATTCGGCCCAATATGTGTGTATATTAATTTTAATTTTTATGCGCGCACACACACACACACACATATATATATATATAATCATTAAAAGAAAAATACTGACATTAAAATTGAAAAGACTTTTATCCACTTTAAATCGACACCTTAAATAAGACTCACGAAAAAGTATAGTTTATTTGTCTAATAGTGAAATCGTGATGTTAGTTATATGATGTTTGAATTTGTGTTTACTTTTTGTAATATAAGATGTTTTGTAATGAGCTTGATTATGTTTGAGACATTTAGACTTAGGAGCCGTTCACTAAACACTTACCCAGTAAGTGTTGATGGGGTAAATTTCTCACCTGATACACATGGCAATGGCTGAAAATCTTACCTGGTAAGAACGAAGATAAAGATAGAGAGTTTTACCCAGTAAGTAATTGTGAGGACTCTTACTCAGGTAAGCGTTTACCGGGTAAAATGTTGCATAAGATACCATTTTAATATACTACAATCTTATATAGTAAAATAAATTATAGAGTTGACTCCTACCGGTAAGCGTTTACAAGGTAACTATTTGGGTAAACGTCAATTTACTTTTAGTTGTGAAATTAACATATTGTAACTTATTTCAAATCGGTTCGGTTATAACCAACAGCGAACGGGGAAACCAACGAGAAAAAAAGGATTTTTACCCTTGACAGGTTCCCCAACGGGGATCTAGAAAACTGTGGGGACCCGACGGGGATCCTCGGTAAGATCCCCAACAGGGATCAGAGCGGTTACGGGGACGATTTTAGTTATCAGTTTCGAAGAGGGGGATACCTATAACCGGCCCGTTACCATTCCTACACGGTTCTCAACATGTTAATGGATTTTGTTTTCCGCTTAAAAACCAGATACATTTGAAACAAACAAAACCACCGCCTCATAACAACATAAATAATTAAAAAAAAACATTTAGGGTCGGGTCAATATACGATAACCAATAAAAAAACAACATACATACGAAATTATGATCAAAGCAAAACAAACCATCTTTCTTTAACCGAATTCTTTTAACCTAACGATCTTATACCCCTAATAACACGACGAAGACAACACGACACTTTTAAATCAAAACCCACAAAATATAATTCTACCGTGAACTCAATCAGTCAAAAACCGAACACCACGATAGACGAGAAAAGTGTACGGATTGTACGGTACAACCCGTTAACACAGAGGTCTACGTACGTTCAACTTCTTGTTCTTTCGAAGGAGCGAGAGGAGGTTCGAATCTTGTGAAAACCCTAAAAGCAGAAATCAAAGAAAGCACCAAGAAACAAAGCAAAGCAATGAAATGAAGAACCAAAATGAGGTTCAATTTGCCACAAAATCTTCCATAAGAAGAACAAGCTTCACTCCATGTAACCTTTGGGTTGCCATTGTAAGCCAAATACACTATCTCCCCAATGCTACCACCACATGCCACCATCATGTATGCCACCACCTATACATACATACATACATCCATATATAGACTTAGGATCACGTGAGACCAACATGTTTTCGTGAGACCTGTGAGACGACTTTTTTATACTTAAAACTTCACAGTGTTTTTGTTATGAAAGTCCGGCTTTATATTTAGAAATTGATTAACCTGGATATCCAACCCGCTATACGAGCCGACTAATCCCAGGGCGACTACCTGCTTTGCAAATAGCTCGGAGTCACTGCATGTGAACCTCCGTGGCCACAAGGGGATTTTTATTCCTCCTTGGATTTGAACCTTGGACCTCCAGGTACTTTTGACCTTTGAAGCCAAGCTCAAACCAATCAGGCACCACCCTTCTGGTTATATTTAGACATATTTAGCGTCATGTAATGCCCAACCCATTTTGTTGCTAACTTCAAAATTTTGGTGAATTTACCACTTGGAAAATGTATTTAGGCAAAAAGTTGATTAACGGCGACTCTAACTGGCCCCACATGAAACGTGCCTCTGAGGACATCAACATAAGGGGGTATTTTTTTGCTCACTCAGTGGGCGGCTGACGCTAACGGGCCTGGGGATTGAATCCCAACCCGTATTGTATTTGGGCAAAATAGTCGTACCTTTTTGCCAACTGAGCCGCACACCATATGCTACTAAAAGAAAAGTACTATGAATGAATCTTGAAAAGATCCCCACAATTTAGGAAAAGTATTGTGAATGAAAGTGAATATTAACCTGATCACAGACTAAAAAGACCCAAGCTTTATTCATCAAGTTCTTGATCCATGAAGAGATCACAGCAGCCAGAGAATAAGCAGCTGAAATGGCACTGATGCTCACCAATAATCTGTTAAGAAAACAACACAAAATTGGATGAAATGAAGATGGTTTTCAAGAAATCTTGATGGGTATTGTTCGAAAGAATCTATCAAAACAATACGAAATCGAATGAAATCGAATGAAAAGAAGATGGTTTTCAAGAAATCTTGATGGGTATTGTTTCAAGAATCTACCAAAACAATACGAAATCCAATCATTGTTTTAACCATGCGTGTCCGGGCCAACTTATTCACGCCCACATGACCACGGAGTCGTTGCAGGCGAACCTCCATGGCCACAAGTGCTTTGACAACACCTAGATTCAAACAAGATGAGATTTCCACTACATACCCTAAAGCCTTTGACCATTGCGTCACAACCCAAATGGTTTAAAAACCCGAATGAAATGAAGATGGTTTTTTTAAGAAATCTTGATGGGTATTCTTCAAAGTAAAGTTTAAAGAGATGGGAAAATTACTTGAGACCCTTGAGATTACTGAACTCCAATTTGCCATACATGGGGTTATCTTGATGATTGGTCAAAGTCAACCACATAGAAGCAAGACTTAATGGAATCACCATCAACCTTAATGAAGAATCTATGAGCTTAAGATTCCTCACATTTTCACCAAGAATCATCATCTTTGAAATCAAGAAAACCCCACTTCAAAATCTGCTACAGAAAGCTTTAAGATATGTGGTCAAGAGTTTGACTTTTGAGAAGCTGAATCAAAATGGGTTCAAGAAATCTTGATGGCTGAATGGATCAGATCAAGATTGTTGTGAAATTTGTAGGGTTTTTTTTGGAGGTTGGTTAAAAGCAGAAGAGAGTGATAATGGATTCCGAGTGGCAGAAAGGTTTCTTTTCTGAGCAACCACAGAGCACTAAGCTAGTGTGGAGGTGACATGAGAATGAGGTAAACCAATTTTTAATAATAAAAAAATTAATTAAATTTAAAAAATTGAAAATTTTAATTATTTCAACACATTTTATTACTGTTTTTGAAGTATATAATATTTATATATAACAAATAGAACAAATAAATTTATATACCCTTCTTATATTTGATGAATTTTAAACCCTTGATCTTCGTTAAGACCAAAGACCCACATATCGCTAAGCCAAAAGCCCTTTGGATTCTTTGTATTGTTTTTTGAAGTATGTGATATTTGAAATTGCTTGTAAAAACAACTTATTGACTTATTCCGGTATGACACCGGTAATAAGCACTTTTGAGTGTTTGGATAAACAACTTATACCGATGTCAAACCGGTAATAAGAAGTATTTGAAAAAAGTTAAATTATTCTGGCTTATAATAAGTTGATGAGTGTTTTTGTAAAAAAACATAAGTAGTTTCAAATAAGCAATCTCAAACACCCCATTACATATAGCAAATAGAACAAATAGATTCACACATCCTCCTTATAATTCGTGAATTTTGAATCCTTGACCTCCTAGAAAGCCAAAGACCTACATACCGCTAAGCCAAAAGCCCTTTTGGATTCTCTGTATTGTTGTAAAATACTGTAAAACTTGATAATGAAATCTCTAAAATACATTTGTTGGAGTTAACTATAATTTCTTTTTAAGAGAAAATATTGAGAATCTGTTGAAGATACTCTTAACTTTGATTCTTTATTTTAAAGAAATTGTAGAAAATTTGTTGAGGATGCTGTTTAATGACTTGTACCATGTGAATTGAGAGTTGTACTTAAATATGAGAACCCCTATAGTTTGTATAGGGGTATATTTGACTTTTCACATGAGTATTGGTGGTTGGTTAGGTTACGGTGGTGGCTGCAATTTGTGGTTCCAAAATAGTAAGAACTAATGAAAAAGACTTTAATACCCCAACTACCATTACCATGTTTAACACTTGTCATCAATCCATTTGTCATTAATATTTATGAATACAATGTAAAATCACATTCAACATATACACATACATACATACATATACATACATACATACATACATACATATATATATATATACATACATATATATATATACACACACACTGATACACGCATAGACCCGACTCGAACAATTTATATGCCCAAAACATGTTATAAAAAGAACGCTTGATAAACTTAAACGGATGTGTTTCCCAACATGTGCATATGCATTTATTAATAACTTTACATTAAAGTTGTTCACAGGCTGAATGACCGGCTAAAATAACAGGTTTATGTTTATATATATATATATATATACACACACACACACACATACACACACACACACATACACACACACACTGATGCACGCATAGGCCCGACTCTAATAATTTATAGGCCATAACACGTTACAAAAAGAATGCCCTGATAAACTTAAACGGATGTGTTTCCCAACATGTGCATATGCATTTATTAAAAACCTTACATTAAAGTTGTTTGCGGGCTGAATGACCCACTAAAAGAACAGGTTTGGATGATTATTTTTGAAAAAATAGCAAACCTGGATTGAACTGTTAAAATTAATAGACGGACATGTGCAATACAAAAAAAATTGAACACGTTTACTCGACCTCTTAATATTTTATAATTAAATTTTATAAATAAAATTAAAAATTAGGGATGATTCCTAATTCCCCAAAACATAATTATGATTAATCATCATTTAGGGGACGTTTATTAACGTTTATACAGTAAGTGTTTACCGGGTAATTTTCTTTATCGAACGAACATGGTAAGGGTTTAGAATCTTACCCGGTTAGAGCGGTAAAATGATGGAGAATCTTACCTGGTAAGAGTGGTGAAATAATTGAGAGTTTGGCCTAGTAAGTGAAAATGACGACTTTTACCCGGGTAAATTGTTGCATACCATATCATTTTGATGCACTACAATCTTACCCAGAAAAATATATTATAGTGTTGACTCCTATCAGTAAGTGCTTACCGGGTAATCATTTGAGTAAACAGACTCTTAATTTTCAATCCCCTCATATTGTTTATCTAATTATTTTTTAGATCGTGAAATATCTGATTGTTGAAGAATTATAGTTTAGAAATTTATATTTCGTGAAAAATTACTTTTTTTCTTTTTATATGTGAAACTAATTTTTTCTTAAGTTATATGAAACTAAGGAGCTGTTTGTTAGTTGTTGAATGGTTTGGTGCAGAATGATTAGAAGACTCTCATAATATAGTGCAGAATGATTAGAAGACTCTCATAATATAGTGCACAAATGAAATATAATTATTCACTGTGAAATTAGGGTGCTGAATGGTTATGGGATGTCCGGGATACAAAATCATTCAAAGTTTTTTAGAACCATTAAGATGCATACTTATTTTTGTCAAACAATATTTACCTCTTAACGATTCAGATGTTGCTTTTTAATAGAACTATTAAAAGTTAAACAAATAACCTTTTTTTCTCAAATAGGAAAACATTCGTTGAAGCTTATTGGGGCGTTCTTTTTATGACATGTTATAGGCCTATCAAATTGTCAAGGTCGGGCCTAATAATAATAAATGTGATAGAAATTTTACATTGCAATAACGTGTAGACAGTATATATATAGGAGAGAACGTGAATCATTTATAAATTGTCCTATCAATACAAATTTTGTAAAATAATCTCAACCGTACATCTAATCTAATAAATATTTTGGTTGTTTTGTAATATAAAGTGTTAATCATAATAAATGAAGTATAATAATTCTTCATAAATATTCTAATCATAATAAATGAACTCTCGTTATTTTCATAAATAATTCAATTAATTGGTTTGTATTAATAATTGTTTTTGTAATTGAAACCCCACACACACACACACACACACACATATATATATATATATATATATGGTTGGGTTCACGTGAGAGCAAAGTTTTTTCATGAGACCCGTAAAATCAATTTATTTTCATTGATCAACTTTATAAGCTAATGATCTAATGGTTTAAAGTTGCACGGTGACAATTTTGTGATTATTGAGAAGTCTCGTGGCGTTTATGAATGTTCAAATTATTAGATTGTAGATCTAATCCAAGGGTTGAGAATTGGTTTTACCTCACGAAAAACTATCGGTCTCACATAATCCCAAGTCTCTCTCTCTCTCTCTCTCTATATATATATATATATATATATAGAGAGAGAGAGAGAGAGAGAATGATGTTATTCTACACCCTTTGCCATTCCTACACCCTATACAACCCTCATCTYAACCATTYAATTTTTAATCAATTAATTGTTTCCTAATATAAAGTATTAATCATAATTAATAAACTCTATTCATATTTCATAAATATTCAAATCATAATAAATGAACTTCAATCATTTCTATAAATATCTCAATTAATTGGGTTGCAAAGGTTGTACAAATGCATAAGGTTGTAAAAGAAATATACCCTATATATATATATATATTATAAGGGTACTCGCACAATGCAGCGAGATACATTTTGATTTTAATGTTCTATTTTATTATTTGTCTCTGTCGATGTTATAATACGATTTTATGTGTTTTTAAGAAAGCAATAATGATTTTATTTTTAAATAAAATATAAATTTGAAGACATCATAAAAATTTGGAAAAAAATATATCAATGTTAATATCAAATCAACTATTTAAGAGTTCTCATTTTTTTTATGTAATTTCTTTAATTTTTATTTTATTCTTATTATAATTTAATTTAAGTTTAATAATTTTTTGGTTTAATAATACGACATTTTATAAAGATAATAATTAAGTATTATGTTAGAACTCAATGATTATCTATACTATCTTATTAAGCAAATTTAGCAAAAGTCTTAAAGTCTTAAAATTCTAAATGACCAAAATACCCTTTATTACTCATTTTTTTCACTTTTTCATCCCCTTCTCACATCACATAGACACATACACTCACCCTCTCACATACACCCACCCTCTCACATACACTCACCCTCTCACAACCGATTTTTTTAAAATTTTAATTTTAATTTTATACTTTATACCCATATAATTAATTAATTAATTTACTTTATGTCATTTACTTTTAAATGTTTCATTTTAAACTTTTATCAAATTAACATGCATAATCGTATATCAATTAAAACATGTTTAAAAAATACATTTTTATTTTAACAAGTTACACAATTATAATCGTCTCGTTAATACCTTCGAAATGAGTCCAATATTGAATAGTTTTTGACTTAATTATATTTATATATTATATATACTGTGAAAAAATATTTTTAATATTTACGATTTATTTATTTATTATTATTATTTTTTGTAAGGGTGTCCGGGCCAAAGCCCGATTAATCCCCTGCAAATTTGGAGACTAAACATGGCCCCACTTAAATGTCGCCAACACTCCCTTCCCATGGCTCGAACTCGGGTTCATGACTATGTCATGCCCAAGCCTTTACCACTAGGCTGGAAGGTCTTTGACTACGATTTAAATATGCGAGAAGGGGTGTTCGCCTAAAGCCTTACGATTTATATTTTTATAGTTATTTATTTATATATATATTATATATTTTGGGGTTAGGCTATTCAAATTGAACTGTATAATATGTTTTGAATTAATATGTTCTTGGGTTTTTTTGAAATATATATATATATATATATATACATGTATTAATTCAACCTTAATCTGAGTTTCTGGACAAGAAAGAGGGTAAACAGTTGAAATTTCATTCTAAAACCCATCTTCTTTTGTCTTTTCATGGCTTATGATCTGTCAAATTTATAGTTTCTTTATTGGTTTTGAGTGTTTATCTTAAAACTCAAGTTTCTTGGTTCTTTGCATTATAAAACTCATCTTTTTTTGTCTTTTCATGGCTTATGATCTGTCAAATTTATAGTTTTCTTTATTGGTTTTGAGTGTTTATCTTAAAACTCAAGTTTCTTGGTTCTTTACTCTTGGTGTAAATCGAACACAT